AGACAGCCATCTTCAACGATTATGTCGGTAACCCGAATTCTGAGATAACTTAACAACAAATCAGTTATAATTTCGACTATACAAATTACGTATATCGAATTTGCTGATTTATGATAAATAAACTGAAGCGGAACCGAATAAATTTTACGTATGTGGATTTATATTTTTGAACAAAGAACGATGAGTTGGGCGAGGTATGTAGAATGAACAGGGATATCAAAAGTGCACAAATTCTAATTCGGAAACGTGTGTTCAGAGAATACGATATTTTTCAAATGTGTTTTAGAGAAATATGTTTCTTTGTGGGCTGAACTTATTGACCTGAGAATAAGCACTTGTAAACACGGCATTTATTTGCTTTTTTAATAACATGTTGGCAATTTATCGACTAAGCTACTATCACTTCTGAATAAACGTTGTGTTGCATGTAGTCAATTACATGATTTTAAAAAAATTGAAGCTGACATTTAATGGCAGGATATTAATAAAATTTTCATTACTTCAAAAACTCTCGAAGATATGGACACGCAGACATGATAATCTTTCTTCTTAAAATAAAAAGTAAGCTAACAGTTATCTAAGGAATAAAAACAAATTCTTGTGTTAATTGCAAGAGGAAAGAAACCCCATTCGACGTTTGTAGGAAGAAGAAATCTAAACGGCCCCTAGGCGTACATTAAAGCAAATTCTCTCATATTACCTCATATTGCAGTAGCAGGTTCTGGAACTGCTATTCCACCAATGAAAACATGACGAGAGAAGTAAGGCAATGTAACACATTCTGTACTGAAAAATCTCATGTACCGTAGTCTAGCGAGGCACAGCAACTTGAACTGCACCAATTATGCAGATATTCCACAACCAGATATAGCTTAGGGTGATAGGCTTAGTACTTTTGCGGTGTTTAATATGAGGGAAATTCGTTTGTGTTAAATTATTATTTGAAAAATATTTCACAGTAAAGTAACTAAAATTATAGTACTCGAATTATAATAAATTGTATTCATATACACGATATATTAAAATATAGTACATGTTGTGTTCATAAATTATCGTCATCAGAGGGACACGTTAATACAGGCATTGCCTTGCTGCCACAAAACTTTTTCAGAGTCTACAAATGGGCTGTAACTTTGCAAACAATTACTGCATATTTTATATTTTCTTACGAAATCTGAGGACCCCATATTAAGTGGTCTGAGGAATTCGCATGTAGATGTGGTACCTTACGTGGCATGATATCCATGTCAATTTTAGTGAACGTCAGTCACTGATTTAAACGTCATTATTGGCTCACATACACATTAGTGAAGGAGAAATACGATTACTTAAATTGTGAGTAAAATACAAGAGTTTACCATTTTCGAACGCGGGGTTAGATTCGTCGAATAATGCGTTAAATAAGTCAGCGTTGGATAAATTTAGTTGATTTTACACACAAATAATTATAATCATACGGTTCATGAAATAAAAGCGTAATAAAAATGAAATAAACCATACATATTACGATATTTACATATTTTAATAAAAATTTATGAAACGTTAATTTTTATGATGGTAATAGGCCTAATTTTTTACGTGTATAGTAGTTGGACATGTTCAGCAGACAGCCTATATTAACATTTTCGGCTACGACATATAATTGTTCGTATTTGTTTTTGCATCTATAAGAAGCTGTGCCTTGGGCACATGCGCTGGACAACGACAGTTACCGCGGCAATGGATCGACCCTCGTCCATGTCTATCTCGAGGTGTTAGTTACGCTTCTACTCTTAGCGGACATCTCTGCACTCTTCTCTGGCAATCTGTCCAGAGTAATGGTGGTAGTTACAGACTTCGCTACTTACAGGCGTTTGGGCTCTGCTGACACAGACCGCAGGTTTGCTGAGGAGAATTCTACAGTAGGCAGAGAGGTAGAAGCTTCAAGCGCAGTCATCGCCACGACCCATGGGACTTCGGCCCTCGACCTCAATATAGGATCCTTAAGATTGTTCTTTCCCAGAATAGATGCCCTTCTGATAAATAGTTTTGTAATCACATTTTATTGAACAGATACATTAATTTTGCGATATCACTGCTTGTCACCATTATTCTTCTTTATTAGATCACCATTTTAATAGTTCTTCAAAAGCCTCTTCCACTTTCCTTACACAAAAATAACTTCCATTACCTCTGAAACGTTTAGTATTAAAAATAACAGTTGCCCTAATCACAGTTTATTCTGAATAGTTAAGCCGTATTTTACGTTTACCCTCTTGACTGCGCTCCCACTGCTTCTTAAAATGGAGCGTTTAACATTCTTGTTTACAAAAAAACAAACATGGATTGACTTTATACCACACGTATGTCTTTCAACAGATAAACGTAAAATATGAAATGTTTCTGGTAGGAATTGCAGCTTAGACTTTGGCCTGTAATATTATGTACGTATTAGATGTTAATAATTCAAAATGACTATTTGGCTGTCTGACTGAAAACATTTGTAAGAATCCGAACACGGAATGAGGCAGAGTGATTTTATTGTAGTGATATTTCGGTTTTATTGTATTAATATTTCAATGAAAAATAGCAAGGAAATATATGATACCTTTATGTAGTTCAATGTCTCAGTAGTGTTCCTTCCTTTCTTGAGAGAAGTAACTGAACGCAAGAATTTAATAGACTATGGTTCACTGAAACATGATTAAAAACTTCGTTTTCATTACAAAGTATTTCTTTAGTCATGTTTCATTTTTGTCTATTACACGCTCCTCGCTTCACCGCCATCTTCTCTCTTTTTTACATCCTTGTCTCTGCAAGACTGTAACTCATTTTCCGGACAGCTGCTATAGGAATACGTTTACCTTTCCTTAGCTGTCGCTGGGATCGCTGAAAGCGTGCAGAATTGCGGTGCTGAGTAGCACTTTCCTGTCTTATTAAAAAAGTTAAGTTAAAAAAACATTTACTCCTTTCCTCTAAACATGACAAAACGCTAATTTAAAAAGCTAAACAAATCAACTTTAAGATTAATTGTAAAGTTTTGACTTCCTTCATGTTGGTCTAATCCCTAGAACAAAAAATAACGAAACTCGTTTTCTTCTGTCTTTCTCTGGGCTATAGTCTGCATCTTAAACGAATCCCTCCCAGACCCAATCACATAAAGTTATTAAAGTCTTTGTTCTCACATTTAAATCCCAATTCATCAGTAACAACTTCACAACCTTATTGTTACTGTGAATTATAGTAAAAAAAATGAGAAGTTAAAAACAATTGTTGTGAAATTTGGGTGATGGATTAACAAATAATTTCATGAAAGACTGCATCTTGAGTAACGGACAGCCGTTCAACCTGCTCTGTAAATTAAGTGCCCATCACGTGACCGGAACCCTGAGATAGTTTTCAACCACACACGCCAATACACATTATCCCTTAAAGGTCAATTACGTTTATGATATTAATTAAGGATGTATGCCTACGAAGAAGCTTAAGAAACTTCATGTAAGTGTAAGGATGTGTAATAATAAATTTTAATGCAGTTTATTCCAACAAAAGGCAGTTGAAATAACTGGTAATGTAGCTAATATAATGTCTATTACTGCAAACATGTAGGAAATCGTCTGTTGTTTCAGTTGAAAGACTATATCATTGGTGGCTTGTACCTTTACAATTTAAGCACACAACACCCATACAATATCCATTTTAGCATAACAGCCTTCACATTTTAACGTAAGATTCATAGATACCAATTAAATAAAGGCGTTATTTATATACATTATGCACATTGCCAAACTTATTATTCTACTAGCGACATTTCACAGGCCAAATAAATGTCATTATCTCAGCTTATAATATGTAAGTGATTGCATTGAATTACAAAAGCAAAAATATAAATATTGGTTACAAAATATGGCAGAGTTCATTTCAGTCTTTCTGCTTTAAGATATTTAGAATGCAAAAGAATAGTTCGAATTATGTTGGAACGTTACTCGTCCAAGGAGTCCTACAACATGTCTGTAAGGATTCATAGTTCTAGATTGATTTCGGAATTGAAATATTGGAGAGGGCCTAATACGTAACGGCTGATGATGATGGTGACGACGCGCGGGCGTCTTGATTCAGCGGCATATTCGACTGACGAGTTCCGTCCTCTGCGACTTTGAAACAGACTTGCACTAAGTAATAAGAGAATTTTTCAAGATGCTCCCTTTCATTCTTAATATTCTTAATTGGAGAGCATCGTGAAGGGTCCGAAATAATTGAAGTTTTTGTGCGGAGGAGGAAATAAAGGTGAATGATGTAGAGCCACTTGGTAGTGCCATCTTAACACAAAGAATATTTGAAGACGCATTTCTTTCATCTTAGTGAGAGTCTGGTGAATTCATTCATTTACGTCTCTAGAGTTAATTTCTGAGGTTCTCTGACCTCACGGTTCCTGTTTATTTTCAAGATAGTCTTCTATAAAAAGTGTCAACACTGATTCCATTAAATAAAATACAAAGCTACTTTTTATACTTTCATTAGATAATGAAAAATGTCATTTCCTAGTGCACAATGATCAACAGTCTCTCAAAATAATTACAGCTAACGACAGGACATTACATGGAAAAACATCACATCTACACACACACAGTCAGTACATTTCTGAGCAGCTCTTCATAAAATTGTTGGCAACTTATTGTGTCTACTTTAGTATTTTCAACGCGTAACTTCAATGATGAATTATAAAATGACAATAAAATGTGTCTATATGAAGGCAACACAATAAACGGTGGTATCATTTCTAAATAATTTATCTGGTATGCTTCGGGTTAGAAAACATATGCACTGTCTTACTAAGGATTAGTATTCTAGTCAGAAAGGTATTGATCTCTCGAGTAAGGGACTGGTTGAGTTTTGGACGGGTGATCGACTGATTTGTTTTAGTTGAGAAAGGTGATGGGAAGAGTTTGCTTGGTAAACCTGATATTTAGTTATGTTAAAGTATTACTGTATTTTAATTATTTATTTATATTTCGTTTCAGTGTGAAGACAGACCTAATGGAGGAGGGAGCTAATAGTTCTTTATCAGTGGCTCGCGTGAACAAGACGGACAGTGGCAACTACACATGTTCCATCTCTCCGACAGAATACGCTACCATCACAGTGCACGTGCTCAATGGTGGGTAAGAACGCATGCCAATAAACGTAAAAGTAAAATAATATGTTACGTACACTTAAAATCATTCAGTATCTGGACTTTTCCAGCGTCCTTGTTTAAAATAAAGAAACCACGACGTTTCGGAAACTGGCTTTGTTTCCGTCTTCAGATGAGAGCATCTACTTAGTTGAGTCAGTCAGATAGAGCTAGTATTCATCACTGGATAACATATATTATCCAACTCTCCCAACATATATACCTGGGTACAGGTGTTGTCAGCAGATGATAGTAAGAATATGATAAAACAAAAATTGGATTATTATATTTAACAATGACGATGGAAAAAGTCCAGAGAGCGAATAATTTTTAGTGTAATCCACCATCGTCAGAACCCTTTAGAATTGAGTGTATTAAGTAATCGATTGACTATATAGCAGATTAATGGGAAATGCGTGTAGGTCACGTAAATGCTTCTCGTTTTCAAGACGTGAAAGACGACTGCAATGTAATTTTAATTAGTTCTACTGTATAACAATTTGAAGTCCAAATTTATTTATGTCATTTCCACACATGAACGAGAAATGTATTTTGTTTTAATTTCAAGATCATTCGACTCTCTGTTTTATATAAAAGGGACTTTTCAAGTGTTAGACGGAGTCTAACAGAAGCTTTTTTTCTGGTCTAGTTTTATAATTCATGGAAAATCTCGAAGGTTAAATTTATTTATTGCTTTAATCACCTTTTATCAGTTTAATCATACACTAATCACATGCAAGATTAAAGAAAGGAAATATGCAAAGTGTGAAATAGATACACTTGCAAGTATTTAATTAAAACTTATGTCACATCTATTCCAGAACAACTTATGAACATTTCTCAATAATTCAAGAAATGTTTCGAGAGAATATGTCTAATTCATTATATACATTTCTAAACTATTTTGGTAATCAGAAACTTTGAATTTTAATAAAGCACCGGGTTTCGTACTAGTTTCACAGTAAACGGTGAACGCTATTAATCAAATGTAGTATTAAAAGGTGTGTTGTCTTTTCTATGAGACAAGAACTGATTTTTCATATAACTCGTTTTTTGCGAATTTAGTTAAATTTCGAATTTCTCCGAAAAGGAGGCGGAAAAAACCAACAACTGGGTTGTAGAGCCAAGAAACAGTAGCAACAACAATTTGTTTTTTTAGACGACATGCACCAAATGAACGCATATTGGGTTAAATATGTCTGTCTGCCTGATTACATGATTCAGTTCGAGAACCGCAGGACGTATTTTGATTAAATATAGTATGGTCGATAAAATATTTGAGGTCACCCTATGTTTCCACAATCATTAATACCAACATGATAGAAAAGAAACTTACGAGGTGAGAGTAACAATAGCGTCACTTAATACAGAGTCATCCAATGATGTAAGATAATAAATCTTTGAAGAAATACACAATTATGGTACAGTAATTATATTTACAATGTGAAATAACAATGCAGCAGATACTTGAAAGAAAACGTTTTGACTGGGGTATGAAACAAATAACTTGTATTGTCTTATATTTCAGTGAATAAATTTTTAGCCAGGTTGTAATATTCGCATTCACAGATTTCTTAATATTTAAGGATAAAGTTTATATGGAAATTAGGAGCTTTAAAATTCTTACCGCATTCTTAGGGGTCCGCAGTGGCCGCGTGGTCTGAGGCGTGGGCCTTGTGCCGCTTGGTCGCTGGGACCGAGGGTTCGAATCCCACTCAAGCCATGGATGTTTGTCCGCGTTTCTCTGTGTTGTGCTGTCCTGTGTTCAGGTAGAGGCCTTGCGACGGGCCGAGCTCTCGTCCAAGGCGTCCTACCAACTGTCTGATAGTTCAAAGCCAAGGAAAGTTTTGGACCCGCAGATGCTCAGGCACTGAAGAACGGGTCGTTCCCAGTATCCAGTACCTGCATAAGTAATTAATACCTGGGACGAGTTCGGGATTTAATTAGCGTTGAGAACGCTGAATTAATGCGCAATGACGTGTATATCTTTATAATAGCCTTAACCAAACTTTGTGCGTCAAGGCCACATAACAACTTTAATACTTCCCCATTATCGCACGGCCCCAAATCAACTGTACAATACTCCTAGCTTTTCTGCACCGTGAATTTCGATCTATCTTGATCCTGAAAATGGTAGCTGCATTATCTGCCAGAACGTTGGATAACTATTTAGGATTCGTCGCGGTCTATCTCCAAAAACCGAAGTTACACAAACATTTATAATCGCAGACCTGGCACAAATGAGACTTAGATATTTAAGAACATACTGCATATCTGTTAATGAGACTAACAGATACTTGCTGTAGCAACGAGATGCCTTACCGCTGGATAGTCCAATTATATGTAAATCTAACCTGTGTTGCGATAGATGGCATCAGACCCGCGTGACCAGTCATCATATATCTCAGTTAACACATAATTTAATACAGCTCAGCGAGAACATGGTACATCCTATCACATAACAATTTGTATTTATTACAGTAAATTATTCTGAGTTTGGGATTATTAATTAGAACAGTAAGCATAACCATCCTTGAATTAGTAATGTATCACATGTCATGTTCAAACTTATCGTACAGTAATGTTAATAACAGCCTGATCATTTTTTGAACACTGTCAACAGAAGCAACGAATAATTATCTTGAGAAATATTATAAATTATGGAGAATAAATTAGTAAAAATTATAACAAAAATATTTTTAAATTATGATAATGATATAATAATAATAGCAACAACTCAACAACTACAGCCCTTCTGAAGCGAATATTTTGTCGTAGAATTGGGAAAGAACGTGGAGAGAGTAGGAAATTTCTGACGAATAGCTTCGTAATTTAATAGTTTATTCACCGTCTGTACACAAACTTAAAATGTTGTTAAAATTACTTAAGAATACATAAAATTACAACATTTTTTTATAATTATATCTTGATACATTTCACATTTGACGACATGTTTCGGTGTATTTCACCATCATCAGGTCAATCAATTTAAAACTGTTTTAAATTGATTGACCTGATGATGGTAAAATACACCGAAACATGTCGTCAAATGTGAAATGTATCAAGATATAATTATAAAAAAATGTTGTAATTTTATGTATTCTTAAGTAATTTTAACAACATTTTAAGTTTGTGTACAGACGGTGAATAAACTATTATATTGATTAAACACAAACATGACGCAGTTAAGATATAAATTAAGCTTCGTAATTGTTTCTATCAACAAACGTTATTGAGCTTGTCAAATCGTGGAGGATGAGGTAGACAACAAATGAGAACTTCATACATTATGTACATGGAAAACTGAAGGGAACAGACAACTTCATTACGTGGACATAGTAGGAAACGTCTCCTAAGTTGATCTTAAAGAAATAGCTTCTGAGAGTGTGCTTTATTACATGAATCACAATAATCGTCTACACAACTCTATCCTGAGTTACATGATTACAGGCCATGGCCCACTTCCTAATTCTTTCAGTTCCATTATAAATAGTATCGTCACAAATTTTTGTTTAATTTCCTTCCATCGTAGGTGTACGTTTGCCTCAGCTGTCTAAAACACCACCAATCTATGCTCATCCCTTAGCGTAAGGAATCAAGATTGACACCGAAATAAAGTATGAAAAGCTCTAGATATTTTATTCTTAATTATTTTTAAATATGAACCGAGAAGAAAATAGACTCAGAATCATCAAATTATTAATCTGGAGTCTGATAGTCTCAAAGAATTATTCACATATTCGACTAAATGTATAGCAAAAGAGAAGATTAGAAACACCTTTGTATAACACCCGAGGAACGTGTATGATTTGCTTTCTTGTTTTATCGGAGAACTACATAAACACTCAGGGAATAATGCGTTTTCATTGCATGAAACGTACAGAAGTATTGAAAGCAACGTTCTCTGTGCACATCCATGTAACATGAGATTCGTGGGAATTTATCACAAAAAAGAACCTCTAGTAATCAGAGTGTAGGACAGGGCAGTTTGTGTATGCAGTCTAATGAATCATTTTAATGAACGTTCGCACCCAGTCGCTTGACCTACGTCACTCAATCATTATTCGCTCTGCGTTCCCCAGCGTTACTAACACCACGCGTGGTGTGTTCTAACACTGCCTATCTTGGCACAGGCAAAAGAAACTTTTCCACAGTTATAGACATTTTGCGTTTGATTTTACCCGGGCACTTTTAATATGAATAACGTGTGCCATGCACTCTATACTACTCATGAATCTAGTCAGAGTGTCCAATGAAAGCCAGAACATTTCTCAACGTTAAGAATTAATAATATAGGTCCATCCTGATTAGTTTAGTTTTTGCTCGCATGGACGCCATTTAGTTGCGAAACATCGAGATATGTAATCATTCGACATAGAATCCATACTCATAATTTAAATTGTTTAAGGGCTGTTGCATAATAATGTTAAACGCTGTCTCCGTTGGTACATTTGACATTGTTAAAGATTAAAAAATGTTTCATTCTGGACTTTTGGCATGTTGGAGGCATTGTATCATAGCAACTGCAGGTTTGTGTACGTGATTTTATATTTTATTTATTTAGTGTTCTGTCTGACGACAGGTTCATATGAACAGGATCCTTCCATCCTTTTCTCGGACTGGGACCTGTTCATATACGTTCTTGGCAGATGATCCAGAAGTGGTTTGCCATTGCCTTCTTCTGTGTGTGAATGGAGTAATTGTTGGGATGCCACGGAGGAAAACTCCGTGTTGCCTAGACCACGGCCTTGCCCAACACAAATTATAAATTCAAGCACCGCCGGGAATCGAACCCGAGACCCCAGGATTACAAATCCAGCGTTCAAAACCGCTAGACCACCGTGGCTATTTATTTATTTTGATCGAAACTGATGTTAATTTTTATCACATCCTAACAAATTCTACATGCCTCTCAGAACTGAAACATTATACACCCCAAGCTGACGATGTTATTACTGATGGCGTGAATTTTAAAACTAATACTAGCCC